GAAAGAATATTGCTTTCTGCTACAAATAAATGTTACGCCTAGGGGAAGTTATTTTAAATAGTTCGATACCTGGCTCCCGAATTCATCTAATTACTGATAAAAGTATGCGTGAGATGAATACATTATACAAATTATGCACGAAGTTGCAGGTGTAAACAATTAATTTAAAAACTAACTAACTTAAGTCAATTTAAATAATAAAGTTTTCTAAATTTCTTTATCGACGACATTAAATTTATTTATGATCAGTTTGTGGCAAGTTTGTGGCAAAAGGAAACTTAAAACAAAAAACGTAATCAAGTGTCGCTGTGTACGTTTTATCTTGACTCTTTATAATGCCCCATTTTTGCAAACAATATTCATTTTTTCAACGGCTGTGCCCTAGTTTGTGTAAAAAGAGCACGTCGCACCATATCGCTTCCATTAAATAATTTATTCAAGAAGTTTAGTCAAGGTTCGTGTGTTATTTGCTGCTGCCATTGATTGTTATCTTGCTAATTAAATATTTAACGCTTGTTCGATGCCTTGCCCTAAAACCCTCTCAGAAACGAGGGGAGGCCTGTGCCCAGCAGTGGGACGTATATAGGCTGAAACTTATTTTTTTTTATTTTACCTTAAGGGGAAATATAACCTCAAATGGCTTAGCAAGATCCTCCGTTATGCCGAAAATATTGCAGCATTAATTTTGAAATAAATATATGGTAAAGTTGAGGATTAATGTTAAGGACTATGTTAGACGAAAACACGATTTCGTAAAATTTTCGATAGAAAAAAATCCAAAGTTATCTCCAAACTGAACAATAAACCGCTGTTATTCATAAAATACTTTAAATAAGACCATGAAACTTTGGATACTAACTATAAAGTAGGGCTTATGTTTTTTTTTTAATTACCATTATTTTCACTGTAAAAAGAAATTACCTAAACTATCGGCGTCCTGAAGCTTGTTACAAGCTTGTTTCAAGCTTCAGGACGCCGATTCTCAACTTTACCATATATAATTGATAGAATCAGGCGTTACTTTCCGGAAATCCATTATAATAAAAAATAAAAATATAAATTTCCTCGCAACCTTCCCCTAAATATTAAATTATAAAATATTATATTAAATTAATTTAACGGAAGGTTGCGAGGAAATTTATATTTTTATTTTTTATTTACCATATATTTATTCCAAAATTAATGCTGCAATATTTTCGGTATAACGGAGAATCTTGCTAAGCCATTTGAGGTTATATTCCCCCATAAGAACAGGGCCTTGCTCATAATTTCTCTGTGCAACAGAAGAAGAACTGGAGTAACTCACAAAGCCCAGGGATGACCTGAGACGGGTGGCTAAAGGCTGGTCCTAAATTTGCAATCACAACATTTCAGCGGTTATCGAACCCGGGTTCCTGACTATCATCACGGTTCTGGCGCTGGCTAAAATGTATGAAATCATTTCTTCGTGTCTTCCTAACTTTAAAATTAACTGCACTCACGTTTGAAAGTTACTCGTTATATTTTCACTTGTATTAGGTTTATCAGAGTCTAATTAGAAAGTTTCGCGGCTACTGGAAAATTATTCTCGAAAGGGAATGAAGCCACGTAGAAGCGAGATACGGCCCGTAGGAACCAACTTTAATGAGTATCGATTGGTGTTTGATTTCAACATTTATAATACCGACCTACATACAAAATTTTGATTACAAGCGGGGTTTAATTATTCTTGATTTGTATTCCTCGTGTCGATTATTGGTTTTCTGCAACACGCAGATGCCTTATTCTGTTATGATTATAGATAAGATATAAATAATATATAGATAAAACCTCACGCCTGTCGCCCAGAGGGGTAGGGTAGGCAGAGACTAAAGATTTCCATTCATCATATTCATTGATATATCGTCAATTACGTCGATAAACTTACGTTTAGGGTATCCCATGCCGACTCTCTTATTTTATCCCTCATTTACTCATTTACTATTTAAATTATTTCTTTCTTAACCCTGAATCCACAAAACTTGCATATAGATTCGATCACGCTCGCACAGAATGCCAACGTAAAATAGCATCATAATGTATTTCTTATTGTGAGTATCATTACAGCACGTTACAAGTTCACTGCTGAACATAGGCCTCTACCCAAGGAATGCCACAAAAGCACGGTTCTGAGCCACCTGCATCCATAGACTTCCTGCATGTCTTACCAGGTCGTCACTCCATCTAGTGGGGGGTCCCTCTATACTCCGCTTACCGGTACGAGGCTGCTACTCGAGAACTTTTTTCCCTTGTGGAGAGTAGTGAGAACTAAAGACGGTTATCAACCGACTCCAGAAAAGAAAGTTCTCAAGTCATCGGAATATTTTTAAATATATTCAGCGATAATTCCATACCGCTTTCTACTTTTTTTTTGTTAGATACTCCGTACCTCACGATTACTCTCCTATAAATGTTTAATTTACTTAATTATTATTTGGACAAGATCTGAAGATTGCAGTCATGTGAAAATTGTCAAATTGTTCAATTTGCAAAGGACACGACTCAGGCACGACTTAAGGGCGAATAATTCTATACGTCACTGATTTCGATGGCTATATTCTTTTTTAGTTCTTTGAAGTTAGATTTTACTTCTCTTAAAGTTTAATTAATTCTAGTAAAACATACAGTCCCATACAGGAAGCATACAGTCATACCCATACCTACACAATTTCTTTCGAAATCGGTGATAGATGTAGATATTTATAGGTCACAGCATTATTTAACATCAAGTGTACTGTGTGTCGTTTATTATATATTTCTGTGGTGAAATTTATTTGCCATTTCGATTCGAACGAAGCCGAATTTCGCAAGTTATAGTGCCCCTAGTAAGCGCTTACAGAGAGGCTTTACTCATAACCGATGTTAAGCTAGTGTGATGCGGACGCAGTCCAGGACACTGTCGGAGACGAGGACAACCATAACACAACCAAATGCAATAACCAACAAATCAAATAAATCATAGTCAAAGCCAATATTGTGCAAAAACAAACAAATACGCGTGCACAAAGCCAGTATTTGTACGAAAATGCACAAATGTTGGTTTCGGATATGAGTCGAAGCAGAAATTCGCGACTTAGTAGCCAGGTACTTTCACTAATACATGTATCACTAGGCCAAGCGATCGTCGTTTATGCCAATAACGCTATAATAAAATTAACTTATATATTATTATTATAATAATATTCTCAACCGCCACTACACGGCAGTACCCCGTGACCATGGGTGCTGGAAAGCACCCGAAACGTCGGGAATTAAAACCCTATTAAAAATTTAACGCGATAAAATCCGTAAAAGTACTTTTAATCAATAGTTACTGAATTATAAATTAAACTAAGTTTTTCGAATTATATCGCGTATATTAACTTACTTTAAATTACGGACTTTTCGAGTACTTTACAGCACCCATGTTATGTCATAGAAACAACGACTACCTTCAGTTTGAAATTATTAATTTTTGGCTAAATTAATCTTTTTGATATTATTCATTTTTTCATACCTCCGAGCGAAAGTGCTCGTTTGTCAACCTTACTTTTATTTAAAATAGTTTAATTGGATCTAGTACAAGAAATAGTTAAGGTAGGCTAGACTAATAGGTTAGACATCAAGATAATAAAAACATGGCGCAAGTTTTTATTTTTAGTGAAATACTTTTACCATGCAACTTTGTTATTTGTTCTGTTAGTTCCTATTGGTTATAAAAAGACCGAAAGAGAATTTTGTTTGACGAATTTATTATTGATTCATTACAGCCCGTCAAACGTCCACTAGGTCACCGCCATACATATTATAATATAGGGGTTATTTATCTTACTTGCCACCGCGATATTTTGTTCTAGTCCTCCGTCGCAAAAAATACCCTTGTGGTTGTTATATTGGACTCCCATATAACGATTAGTAGATTCGAAGACTAGATTCTCTTGCACTTCTTCTTCTCTTTCTTCTCTTTTCTAAGAATATACTGTTTGATCTGTAAACAAAACACATTAAAAATTTAATGTTTTGAAATTTTTTCTGCTTACTTTTAAGTGCATACCTGGTGTTATTTTGAGATTTGTCGTCTCGGTAGTGCAGTGGTTAAACGTATATGAGCGGTACTAGGGGCCGAGGGTTCGATTTTCCCAAGAAATTACTGTTTGTAGAACTATCAATCATGTGCTATTTATGCATGTCAGATACAGATGTTCCAAGTGTGGGAGAGTAACATTTAAAAAAAAGCGCCGGTTTCGGTATTTTTGGTACTGTTAGCTAGGAAGTTTTTGCAGTTTTCATAGAATGCTATTATAGTTATATGTAATATGTACCTATGTAAGAATATCCTCCTGACTGAATTTCGACCACAGTGGTGAATCTCAACGGAGGCTAGCCATCTGCGCAGAACAGGATTATATTGCACGAGTGTGAGCTCAAAAACAGGTGCACTCTCTATTTTTCTCTTGAACTTCTATAGTCCAATAGGACTGTAATCCGACACGACCGGAAAGAGACCAGGCGCAGAGTAAACAACAAGACACAACAACAAGTAACAAGAGTGACAATCTCTTTTATACCCGTAATCCACCTTCAGGAGTATGTGGTGGAAATTAAATGTACACAAATATCGTAATTTTTTGCCGTAAGTTTCGATCGTAAAGTTCGCCAATATTTAACAGTTCTTCCAAGGAGTGTTACCAATAAGCAATTATTTAGCGAAGCTATTCTTATACATTAATAACACCAAAATAGATTTCTAAGTCTAAAAATATAACTTACCGCTACTTAATTTTAAATATTAATTTAATAAAAAAAATATATTTGTCATAAATTGTACTTTTTACATAGTACTTACACTTCCGCGTCTGCATCCGTTTCCGTTTTTGTTTCCGCTAAAATTTACTTTTGACTTGTGTTTCTGTTTCTGCTTCCGTTATAACACTTCTGTTGCATCAGTAGTTGATATGCTGTTTCTTTCATTCCAGTTGAGAGATTGAGGTGAGCTCAGCACAATGGGGAAGCTACTATCGAAGATCTTCGGTAACAAGGAGATGAGGATATTGATGCTGGGGCTCGATGCTGCTGGAAAGACTAGTATCCTTTACAAATAAAATACAATCGTCACAATTAGTTGCCAACTACCGTCGACACGTCAGCGATTGCTTTCTTTTGGTCAAACGCTACTTTTATATTTTATGCGGTTGACGGAGTATAGTTGGTATACGTGATTACGTGATATACGTGATTTCACAAAAGTCGTTATTGTCATAGAACATCGTGATGTTTCAGTATCTCCAAATGTGATCTTTTTACGTAAATGGAAGGAGATTTCGTTCCGTTACTGAAGGCCGATTTTTCGATACCCTTACCTGGGTATGTTACATTATATATAAACAAATTAAAAATTACATTTGTTTGAATAAAAATATTTTAAATACTTATTTAACTTTTGTGTTTTTAAAAATAAAAGCAAATTAAATTAATATTCAGTCTGGTTTAAATTTGGTTTTGATTGACCGGCCCTAAGTCTAATAAAATTAAACCAACCTAGTTTGTTTTTAAATTAAATGAATGCAACAATGTAACAGTTAGATTTGTCTCTTATTTAATCTTATTGCGTTTTTGTAGTATATTAAATGCTATGAAAGAATTTTATTTTCTATTGATTTCATCAAAATAACGTTTAAAAAATTGACATTACTTCCTTAACACGCTTCGTCCAGCTATTTTATATAAGTTAAAATTAGGTCAGTCAGTCACAACGATACCGACAGTCGGTTTCAACGTTGAAACCGTCACGTATAAAAATGTCAAATTCAATGTGTGGGATGTTGGGGGGCAGGACAAGATACGACCGCTATGGAGGCATTATTACACAGGTGAGAATAGCTTCTTTTTTAATTATTAATGTAATTAATAAGCAAATAATATATGCCAGAGTAATCCTTACGGTCTAATAGTCCAGATTATGATCAATAAATTCAGAAAGTAGGATTCGATAAAATAAGAAATCACAAAGTAATCCAAGCCCGCGATTACCAGTAAATTCTGATGCAAACTTAAGTCTACATTTCAAAAGTTGCTTTGTTTGGCTTGAATACTTTTTGCTTACATTCAAACTAGATAAAGCTATTCCTAGCTAACAAGTAGAAAAAAGTGGTCTCTACATGCGAGTACTTTTTTAATATTCGCATTTAACAGATGCTCTATGTTTAAAAAGAATCATTGTTTTAGTACCAGTTATATCAAACCATTACGAGTTGTCGGTGATGATGAGTTTCATGTATACAGACTTGAAACATGTCATTGGGCAGTTATCGGTAAATAAATGAGTTAAAAAATGTAGTAAAAATAATGTTTATTTTTATTTATTTGTTTATTACTTTACCCTTAAAGAGCGAACCCAATGCGATATTGTCCTCTGAACTGAACTAAAAGAGTTCTGAACTAAATCTATATGATGTAAAAACTGTAATCCTTTTTCTATTAAATGTATGTTATTCGCAACGTTTCAGGTACGCAGGGCTTGATATTCGTGGTGGACTGCGCTGACCGCGACCGCATCGACGAGGCGCGGCAGGAGTTGCACCGGATCATAAACGATCGTGAGATGCGCGACGCGATCATACTCATATTCGCCAATAAGCAGGACTTGCCTGACGGTAAACAATGTTTTTAGCCATTTATTACGCTTCAATTGGTTGCGGGTGACCACGTTGTGGTGGTGTAAGGATATCCACTACCTTATATTGTTCCGTGGTGTCTTCTTGATAACAACAAAAATAAAATACTATGGTTGCTATGGTTGCCAGAATTTACTGGTACTGCAGTTGCTAAACCTCCTTCAAAGTGTTGCAACTATGGCAAATAACCCTTCTGTAAAGCAATATGGGAAAGCAATCTGTAAAGCAAAATGGGGTAAGCTTAAGTTATAAAGTTAAAATAACGCTTCTGGCTCGGCGGTAAAGCAAAACATCGTAAGAAACCCTCGATGTTTGTAAACTGAAATATTTTTAAGACATGTGAAGTTTCCCATCACACACTTGCAGCGGAGCGTATTAATAACTTTATAAATGGTGAGATGTATTATAGGCTGTAACTTTACTTTTATTTCACATATGTGCTAACAACTATTTGGTAAATGACTACTGTCGCCTATTGACAGTGGAAACTTTCGTCAAATAAAGAACACCACAGTTGCGTTTTCATCCCTGAGGGCATAGATGAAATTCCTCACAGCCGTAATTGTAGGAGCTCTCTTACCCTTCAAACTGGAACATAACAGCGGTTGCACAGCTGCTTAATAGAGACAAAACGGATGGATTACAACTTAGATAGACTGCTAAGCAACCTACATACTAGGTTCATCATCATTCTCTTACTTATATCTGCCGCCAAATAGCAGACATTGCACTGCTGTGTTGTTCCAGTCTTAAGGGTATACTGAAATTGTAGGCTGTGAGGCGTTCCATCTTATATCTCAAAGGAATCTGTGGCTTTCTTGGCTGCTAGTGTCCTTAGACTGCAGTAGCCACTTACCATCAGATGGAATTCAAGTTCATTTTATCTCAGTTTGACCTGCGTGGCTTCGCTCAGGTGAAATTCGTGTAGTAATTTTTTTATATTACAAACAAAAAGAAAATAATAAATAAAATAATATTGTTTTAGTATTGTGTACATATTTATAGCATTGTAGCATAGTTCTGCATAGTAGCTTGCAATTGTTAGTAATTTGTCAAAAATCGGCTGTCTGTCAGTGCTTGTCAAGTCAAGCAAAGCAAAGCTTATGAATAGACTCATTTTAATTTGGCAGCGATGAAGCCGCACGAGATACAGGAGAAGCTCGGGCTGACGCGTATCCGTGACCGCAACTGGTACGTGCAGCCGTCGTGCGCCACGTCGGGCGACGGGCTGTACGAGGGGCTCACGTGGCTCACCAGCAACCACAAGTTATGAGCTGCGGAGTAGGCGGCGCCGCGCCGCCATGCTCCCTTAAACGGTAACTAATTTTTAAATATGTGTTTTAGAATAAATAAAGACAAAGTTTTATATGTGGTAGAGCCATGCTGCAGTTATATTAGTAGTATAGTTGTAACACGAATGGGTCGGCTCGACCGGGGAAGGGCTCTCACACCAGCGTAAAATAGTAGCTTAATGCTGCTGTGTTTTGTATGGTGAGTGTAGAGAAACGGAGACCTGTTTAACTGAAAACGAGTCATCCCATCTTAATCCTCATGGGTGACAATGCATCTGCATTTTGATTGGTAATCGAGGATAGATATAGATGTCTACGGGCCGCAGCAGCCACTTACCATCAAGTGGACTGTGTGGTCGTTTGTCACCATATCCTATAAAAAAAAACAGAGGGAGAGGAAAAAGGAGAAAGAGGGAAAGAGAAAGAGGCAGAGAGGTATTTTTTAGCCATTTCTTAAAAATTTAAAGCTAGCTTTAAAGAATAGCTTATAATTGACATTATACAACACGAACAAGAAAAAATTTTTTTGCTTCATCTCCTCCATATGCTCAATAGAAATGATGTAACTTACATAGCCCATGCCAGCTATATAGCTCGTAAGAACTGACAACTTGTCGGGAAGCAAGGTGTTCAAGTGGCAGCCAAGTACAGGTCGATGAGCAGACTGCATGGACTTCGTAATAGTTAGATTGTAAACCTGGTAAAACATGTCAAAAGATGATGAATGCAGATGGTTAAAGACCCAATCCTTGGGTAGACCTATGTTCAGCAGTGGACTGTTAAGGTGCTGTAAGAATATTGATGATGATATTGTTATTGCAAATGTACTGTGGCCTATATAATTCCACTGATTCAGACTTGCGATCACTTAGCTCACATGATAAAAAGTATAACATTCACCTTTATTCATTAATTACAGCATCACTAGTAGAGCCTCATAGGACAGATATGCAGGTTGGAAATAGCATTTTTTCTTACTATTGCGCTGTTACCAGGAAGATGCAGCTCCCATCGCATGTTTCAGTTTTCCTGTCGCCTCTTACGACGCTCATGGATTAGAGAATTCTCTTACGTCACCAATTTTGCCAATGTTGACGACATTCATTCACGTTATAGGTAAATAGAGTATTTCTTTAAAATTTTGGAAGGCTTCATGCTCAAAATCCATCCCAACTCGTCTTTTTCATGTTGTCTAAGTAAAAGGAATGCCAGCAAAAATCGAATTAATGTAAAAAAATTTGGCTGTAATTATTAGGGATGGGCCGAATATGGATTTCACCGAATACGAATATTCGGCCGAACATTATTCGGCAGGATTACCTCGGTACCTAACCAATTTATGTCGAAACTTGTTACCATAATAGACCGGGAGCTGGTGACAGGTGACGTTCCACGATTTTGTCGTGCATGCCTTTTTAAGGCTTGATAACTAACCCTAAAATATCAGATTGTCGGGGCTTTAGCTCCCCCCCCCCCCGCGCGTCCTCTTCATAAGGAAAAGCGCTTTTCTTTGTGTAGCGAATTTTCGTGTTTTTCCATGATAGTATACTGCATGCCATTGTAATATACGGAAGTTCAAGCAAATTGAAGCTCTAATAATTGATAGCATGCACTTTACAGCGGCCCAAGATGATCAAAGGGTTCTGAAAACCTGAAAAAAATTAAAGGGCAATTCTGTGTTTTCGAATTGCATGCCGATGTAAAGAATGGAAGTTTTTGTAATAAAAACACTCAGGAAAAATTGGCATGCACCCCTCGTATGACGAACGATGGAAAATTTCCGGAAAACTCTGTAAAAATTGAACTCCGATTTTCCGTGATTCCAAATTACTCCTAATAAGGATGAATATTAATTTTATAACGTAAATACCTAATTCAAATGGCATGCATGTTGAATAAGCCCATTGTATTTTAAATAATAATAATAAAAGTTGCAAAAAAGATTTAGGTGACTTGTTTTTGCATGCCGTTTTGTATTTCATGAATTTACATTATTTCAAGTCATGAACGTAAATGGCATGCATGTAGCCTTCCCCTCGCTCCCCCGCCACACCTGACATGTTATTACATCATCTAGTACTGAACAAATTGCCGGCACATGCTTATGTTTTGACAATTTTTATAAGAAAAAAATTATTTCGTTGTGTTATTCGTACTAAAAATTGATAAGTATATGATGAAAATGAGTGGCAGGAGATCTACTATTTAGACCAAATTTAGAGAAACTGACGACTGTAATGTAATGTTTCTTTGTTTGATTCCAAACAAAATTTTAACAAACTTTCTATTTGCTATAATTGGAAATAAATATACAGTGCCTCAAAAAATATCGCTATATTTAAGCCATAAATAAATATACTTTCAACAGCAAAATTATGATAGACATGGCATTACTCAATTCGTACATTTCTATACAGTGGATACTTTGAGTACTACTTTACCGAATGTTCGGTGATTTATCCGAATATTCGACCGAATACGAATATTCGGTAAACTTGCCGAATATGCCGAATACTGAATATAAAACGAATATTCGGCCCACCTCTAGTAATTATGCCATAATTAAATAATTATTACACCTTCAAGCAAAACGATTATAGGAAATTCTCTTAAGACGACACATCGAAAACGCTATCGCCGTACTGATCCGAGTGAATACATAATTTCTATAAAAACTTGAAGAAACGCCGTCATAAGGTCTAAAATTGCGTAGCGCCCGCGACGATTAAAAGCGCTTAGAAATTGTCAGAATCTTAAAATATTTTTTAAAAAATTATTGATTTAAGTTATCAAAATAATGAGCAATTAAATTATGAATATTGATGTTATGAATATATTTGAGTGATTTCCAAGCATATAGATCAAATGATTTCGTTGTAATTTCAACTATAGTGATTTTTAGAGGTGTTTTCGCAAATAATTATGATCGAGTCAAAATTATACAATCGTGTTTTTGAGCAATCAAATTCAAGATAAAGACATGAATTTATCTATATCAAAATCCCACTTTCGGTAGTGGTGTCATAGTCCTATACTATTCGATGAAAGGAGGTGCATTTTTTCACGGTGTCGCCTTAAGTTTTGGTATTGTTAGTCCTGGTGAGGGTAATAGGCATAGAGCTGGTACATTGACTAACATGTTAAATACATAGCTACAATTTTGTGTTTTGTTTATTTAATATTACTTAAATAAAAAATAAGAAAATCACAATTGACTTGGATGGTGCATGGTTGAAATATTAACCCCAAATTTAATTTAAAAAAAAAAAACCATGCATTTAGTCTGGCATTTTAAAGTTGAACCTTTTTTAATTTATACATTTTGTTATATAGAGAAGTAATTCCCAGGCAAATCCATTTCTTACAAATATGTACTTCCCAGATGAGTCTAAAGTCACTTTAAGTCAAAGTGACTGTGACACCACGAGACTTAACGACATCTTAACATTGCGTTTGAGTATTAGCCACAAATTGGGGATATCGGAATTTACTTTAAAAGCCTATAATTTTAAAGAAATTTTCATTAAAAATACTAATAAAATAATGATAACAGCCAGGCAATATAGATTGCTAAAAATTATTTAAAAAATAATAGAAAATTATTTTTTTCCAGATGAGGATGCCATGTAATTTAAGTAAGCTGCGCCCATGCCGTCGGATAAGCAACCTGGTGTACCAATGTGGATTTATTGGACATTGACTCTAACATATGCAATGTGGAAGGTGCGTCCACTGGACTGTGCGAGTGCGAGACATTACAACTGTTAGTTAGATAAACAAGTGAATTTGTCACACAAAACGAAATATCGTCTATTCCATTATTTAATTAAAATATTAGAGGTTTGTTGTAACGAAATATTTTGATTATTATTTTTTTATGTTATTTAAAAAGCAAATGATTACGTAAAGTAAATGATTTTTATTATTAAAAATATTATAAAAGAAAATTAATTTAATGTTTACCTCCTTTTTTGTATGATAGTAAGGTAGAAATTTGAAGTTTCTCAAGTATTATAGTAATCAATTGATTAAATTAAGAATCGAGGATGTATGAAAGGTGTATTGATTATTAAAGTATACATAAAAAGCAATAATGAGTTGCACGCCTGCGTATTTAGTGAATTGTATCATAGCTTGATTTGTAACACATTCTGTGGGTGATAACGAAAATAATTAAAACAAAGTTATTATTGTAATCCATACTCTTTTGATTTCCGTAACAATTCTACGGGTCCCATAACACACAGGTATGCACTTTAGTTTTGTAAATATACAACTTCAGGTAAGCCTCATGTTCGTTTGCTACTCATCTACATATATTTAAAAAACCCTGTCTTTAATAGCATATATTTTTAGTGTGGTCAGTACAATAAATAATATTTTGCAGTAATTGTTGAACAATTCCGCTTTGCTGTACTGAAAGTACTCTTGGGTAAAAAACTAGAGGAGGGGCTGGATTTGTGTAATTCAGCTAAAATCTGTAAATATTTTTCCCATGATATATATTAACAAGGTTTAGACCTTACAATTGTGAAAAGCCTTTGATTTCAGGCGATGCCGCAGCCCGCCGTAGGTATTACACGACCAGCGTGTACGCTAGGGGTTGTCACGAAAATGGCAATAAAATAATGTTAGTTATTATAATACTCACTATAATTTATTTACATTATGTACATACATATATGTTAAAAACATTTATCGAACAAGATCATTTTTTATTACTACAAGAAAAAACACATTTACTAGTGTTGCAATATTTTCGTGACACTTCACTTCACTCACTTTCGATTGTTAAATTTATTTAAGTCGGATTCGGATAAACAATTGTTTTAAATATAAAAAATAGGAAAATATAAGCATCGCCGCCATTTGAATTCAATTTTACGTAGTAACTCATATAACTATTACAGTAATTCACAATTATAGATATTATATTTTTCGAAAACGGCGCTTAAAATTAGTTAAATAAGTACTATAAAACACGTTCGGGCCTGCATGTATTGTCTATCAAACTCAGTGAAGAGCGCTAGCACCGCCGTTGCTCTGCACAAGTACACACAATGCGTTTCCCAACTGTAAGGTCTTTAAACTGTGATATTAATTTGTTTTCATTTACCGATATATTTATAGCAATTATTAATCATGATACTGTGACGCTAAACATAGAAACGTCATCGATATATATGTACTACGCACTAGATGACGCACACACACACACACACACACACACACACACACACAAACACACACACACGCACACACACACACACACACACACACACACACACACACACACACACACACACACACACACATACACACGCACACGTACACGCACACGTACACATACACACTATTACACATATAGAAATAACTTTAAAAACAACATATAGAATCTTTCCTTGTTGAAATATTTCTTATTCTTGTATTTCTCTTGTAATATTTTTGAAAATGTAATACGTGCTATCCGTTAGGGTGAGGGCCTGGTGATCTATAACACAAGGATTACCCTAGTATGGACACCAGTCTCTCACAAAGGTCAAAATTATCTACAACCGTATTATTTAAGAAATAATGTGAAATTATATACCTTTGTGAAGAGAAAAAAATAAAATGATTTATCAATTATGATTAAATTAGCACATATGCAAAATAAACGAAAATTAAAAAAAATTACTGGATTAACAATACAATCGAAATAAACAATTCTTTATTACGTCTATTTTCGCGCATTTATATCAACTGCGCATGCGCGACTACTGTTTCCCGCGCATGTGCGGGATACAGAGTAGTGCACATTTTTTGTTTGGAATAGCTTCTCTAGTACGTAGTACAACTCAATGAGAAACGTAAAAATTTTTGAATTAACATTACTTTTTTTGTACTATTAAATGCGCCAGTGGATACTAACATTTGATTTTGAACTATATAATATTTGGTAATATTTTATAGGGACCATCTCTGATTTTGCTTAAAATTGTGGTAGGACTAGTTCACAATGGAGCATGTTTATTGTGTACATAATTTGCACAAAAGGTGATATTTGCTGCTAAAGTTGATTGTTTGCTGCTATAATGACATTTTACGAGATTTAATATCATAAAGAAAGAAGTGTTTGTTAGCTTTATATACCTTGGCGTGTAATCAGCCTGATGTATAATTGTTACGCTTTTTTTTTATTCGATAATAAATATTACAATTATACTTTTGATACAAGACTTTTCATCACACTCATACATTCCACTTTTAAGCCATTTTATTTTCGTATAGAGTAGGAAGGCAAATTTATTACTTTTCATCAGATTTAACCGTATTATCAGTCAGAATTAAATTATTCCGAATGAAGATGATTTTTGATGTACAGATAATAATAGAACAATTTTCTATATCGTTAAAACAAAAGTGTTAGTTTTATTTCGAAAGTGTATCTACAATCGTAATACCAAAGACACACTTTGTAAAAGTCTGTCTCAGTAATATGCCATTGCCGCAATCTATAAGCAGTTAATATTAAAAAAGACAAAATTCCTTTTCAGTCTTAAATCGCCTGTACACTATAATATTTAAAAGAGTTATGGAACCCCAAAAATGGATAACTTCAATTTAAAATTTAAAAAACCCTCGGAAAAAAAGAGCTGATGGCCTTCAAACCACCTAACCGACTTACTTGAAATAATGCTAACAACACAATCGCTTAAGATACCTTTGAAATGAAAAAAACTATTCATTCAGATACACGGATACCACACTACAAACTTATTACATCCCTCTATATTCGTTGGAGGTTACGAAACAATAAAAACATGGGTGTATTAATTAAAATTAAAATTTTAAAGAAATAAAAAGAATTAATTGAACATTAAATTAAAAGAAATTGAAAGAAAATTAAAATTAGAGTGGATTTAATAAAACCTCTATTGCAAAAACTACCATCTAAAAGCAAAGCTTAATTAATTTAAATAAAAAAAATAGATGACAATTAAAAATATCTCTTATTAACGTAAAATAGGACTTCAATGGTACTTACTTACCATTTGAATTTATATAAATGCACTCAGATTAGACTAATAAGGAATTTAGGTTTGTATTTTGCAAGCATTTTTTTAAATAACAGTGATAAGTGGCTTTTTATTAGAATGGGTTGATGGAGTCTTATTTTGCAGCAAGAATGCCTTTTCACCATACCACAGAAGTAGTGATAGGTATGCAGATATGAAAAATTAAATCATCTTAGCAGAATATAATAATATAATCAAACAGTACTGTACAATAAAAATACCACTATAATAAATGTATGCTAACCAACTTCACCGTCAGTGGTGTCTATGGTTAATGATACCGTCACTATAATGTTAGTAATGTAAAAGACATGAATATGTCAGCGCTTATTTATAAATATTTCATAATGTAGATTTCTGATTTCAACCTTATTAAACACGCAAACATAGTAAACTGGTAGTTATAAACTAAAATAACAGTAGTCGTACCCTTCACATTAATAAAGAATAATTTACACAGCAAAATACCTTAACTGAGTGACGGATGGATGACCTGGTCATCCATCATTCAGTTAAGATATTCCTTGTGGGAGGCTTTTCTTCAGCAGTGGACTTATGAGGTATTGTAATCATGATTAAACAAATATGGCTATTCTAGTGGAAGACTAGTGAAACAAAAACTTAAATATAAAGAAAATTAAATAAGTATACGCTTAACCACAGACAGAGAAACCTATAGACTAATGATTAGTGTGGTCTCGAGTGAGGAAGGGACGATAACGTAGACAGAGGAATTCTCTGTCTACGGTTTTAGGTTATACAATAATCTTTATGACTTTTAAACATATTTAGATAAAATTTAAACGTATATTTATATAGTTCTGTAACGAAATTTAAAATAACATTGAATTTTATACGTAATACCAGATAAAATGTACTATACTTATGAGTGAAATGATATACCGGTGAGTTTACGTTCACTATCACTTTTAAACCTGAGACACTACATCTAACCATTTTTAAAGTTTTTAATTGTTCTAAGAACTGAACTGAAGAGGATTCACCAATCTTAAGCTCACAAAACACTTTTTCTCACTTAAACTAACTTATAAACTCCTCAGATCGCTACGAACTGTAAAAAAAAACCAATCAACAAACAATCACACCGCTCTGTCTCATTTCTATGCAAGACGTATGCATAAATCTTTTTCGTGTGCGAATGCGAAAGAAGGAGTCAATTTGTCTATAGGTTTCTCTGTCTACGCGCTTAAAAATATCGTCATCCCACTTGCCAAGCGTGGCAACTATGGCAAATATGCATATTATGAGACAATATATGGGGGAGGCCCACGTTTAGCAGTGAAATTTAATATACTATAACGGTAACAGTTAACACCATTTATATTTATTTCCATGTTAGATTCGACCATGTTAGAACACAGCGGATCTCCGTCAAAGCGCACTTAACCTTTTTGATTATGATAAATGAAAAATGTTAAAAGTCGGTAACAGTAATGTTGGTAGATACCATTAAAGATAAAAAAATTTAAAGATTACTTTGGTAGTTAAGTAAGGGACTATTAGTAAAGGCCTATTTACACTTCGACAAGTACGAGGGGTGATCCAAAAGTAATGATAATGAAAATAAAACACGGTAATTAAAGTTAAAATAATAATTTATTTTCTATATAGTCCTAATAAATCAATAGATTTAGTCCATCTTTTATCTAAACCCAGGATTCCCTTTGAAAAAAACTCTTTGTCTTGACCCTCCCAAATCGCTTCAACAGCGGCCATTACTTCGCTATCGTCTTCGAATATCGCTTCGGAGGCGTTCCTTGAGCCGAGGAAAGAGGTAGAAGTCACTAGGAGCTAGATCTGGCGAATAGGGAGGGTGTTCGAGCAGTTCGAATCCCGTTTCTTGAATGGCAGCCATCGCAACTGCGGCTTTGTGAGCCGGTGCGTTGTCTTGGTGAAACAGCACTCCAGCTCGCAGTTTGCTGCGTCTTTTTTCCTTAATGTCCTCCGGTAATCTTCTTATTTGGTCTGCGTAGTAAGAACCCGTAATAGTGGCTCCCTTTTCCAAATATTCCACCATAATTATGCCTTGAGCGTCCCAAAAAACAGATGCCAACCTTTCCCGCCGAACTTGAAACTTTGAATTTTTTGGCGTCGGTGAGGAGGCTCGCTTCCAAGTCATCGATTGTTGTTTCGTTTCAGGATCAAAATGGTGGATCCAGGTCTCGTCCATAGTCACAAAACGGAACAAAAAATTTTCTTGATCTGCTTGGAACTTTTCGAGATTGACCCTCGAAATGTCAACTCGATTTTTCTTTTGCTCGTCGGTTAACATTCTGGGTACCCAACGCGCAGAGACCTTTTTCATATGCAACTCGTTCGCAAGGATTCTTTGAACGCTGCCATATGAGATCCCTGTGACCTCAGCTACATGCCTGATGGTCACTCTTCGATCTGCCAACGCAACATCTTCGACTTTTTTCACGTTGTCTTCAGTGAGGGACGTGGATGGGCGTCCTTCGCGATTTCTCTTCTGGATGTTCTGCCCGGTTTAAACTCCTTGGCCCAGCGTGCAACTGTAGAATATGGAGGAGCAGAGTCCCCCAATGTTTCCACTAAGTCACTGTGTATGTCTTTTGAAGACATTTTTTTCAAACAGAGGTACTTGATGACAGCTCTAATTTCGTTTTTCTCCATGTTGATGTTATCTCTTTGACAGTTCGTATTCAAATGAATGTATCTCCCGAAATCGTGATCTATTTATATGATTTTTTTAGGCTGACGTAGTGAGTATATAAGCAAGCAAAAAATATATTTTGTTGGATTTTTAAGCGGGCCTGAAGTAATCGATTATCATTACTTTTGGATCACCCCTCGTACAGTAGCGAGTTAACTTGCGACCCTGGCGAGTTAAGTAGAAAATCTCGTTTAAACAGCAATCAGTGAGTCAAGAAGCAAATTAACAATTAAGTTGAACGGGATAGCCGGCCGGTCTGTTTTTCGGCGAGTCAAGTTTGAAGTTATGCTCTCATGCGTGTCTTACGCCATGCGCAACTAAACTCGTCGCTCGTGTGGCCGAGTGAGTTTATTTCAGTGCGCATGTTGACATGACACAACGACCTTCGACCGTCTAAATATAAAATTGTATTTTTAGTAATTAAATTCGCCACGAATACATTTGAACATTACTGCCCACTTACCCGTTTACTGTCAACTGCCCTATAACTAAATTAGCTACTGTACTTGTCAAAGTGTAAATCAGTCTATGAAAAAAAATTGCCGAAGATCAAATTTAATTTTCGGCATTGCTATTGAGCGTTCATCGAAAGAACTGCAGCCGAAAATGAATATTTTTAGTTCTGTCTTATATCCATACTATTACTACAATAAAATAATGATAGTCTCAGAAAAAAATTGGATACTTGACACCCATACCCATTGAAATATTTTTATGAGTTGTGATTTTATTGTAGTCTTTGGTTGCAATAAAAATATATGAAAGTAAATTTTGTTACGTAATATTTTCATGTTTTTTATTTCAGTGGTTTTCATATTCAAACAGTCATATATATATAGAAGTTTTTAAATAATAAAAGTCTAACTTCACTTTAAGTGGAGAAGTGACCATATTTTAGATATAAATAAAAGTAGCGAATTCAAAATTAACTATTAGAATATTTCATTAATGATGGTGTCATCTACCCAGTTATATTAATATAGTAAATTTGTATGTTGTTACCCTATGTCGATTTGTTATAATATAACAAAAAGTAATAATTTCTTATGTTTACGCGAACACTACATTTAAAATAAAACTTTTACTGATTTTATCGCGTTTATTAAAATGGGTTAATATACGCGATAAAATATGTAAAACTTGTTAAATAACAAAAAGTAAATAACAAAGCTCACGGGTAAATTTCGGGTTCAATCTCAAAATTCACAATATCAACATTTGTGTAACATAATAGACTTAAATTTTAACATTGCAAATTTGAGGTTTGAACTTGAGAATGTCTCCGAGTTCCGGCCTAAGATCCCATTCATTTGAGCCTTAGTAATGGTAGTGTTGCACTATAATTACTAATTAAATGCAAACATCGTGCTATTTCCGTTTACAATTATAAGCAACTGCTTACATCGCTAGTGTTTTTATGAACGGGCTTTAACACTTGATAACAAATTTACCTTATTATGAATGATATTATGGTATAACCTATCTATATAATGAGAATTTAAGTACCAAGAAATTGTTCAAAGTGCAACTAAAATACGTGATAATCACGCAGCGTTTGTGACCTAGGAATGTATTGTATCAAAGTTGTTTGATTTACATTTTGTTATATTTGTACGTTTCTAGGATATGTTAATGAGTTCGGATCTGATGTAATAACATTGTGGCAAAGTTATTCAATATAAATTCACACCATTTATAATTGTTTTCTTTCTTTAATAATATTAAAGTAAATATTTTTGTCACAAGTCTAAAAATGTAGGCTCTTAATTTTTCTTCTTGCAAGTGACAAAAAATTCAGTTAATTACGGGGAAAATTGTTAGTATAATAACGCTAAGGTTCTACTTACACTTATTCAAAATTACATATGCGACGTAACAAAGCATTATGAATACTCTGTTACTATAACATTTTATGCAAATGTAAACCATGTGCTAAAAGTTTTAGGACTAATATAAAACTTCTAAGTTTCGGAGTGTGCATAGAAATTGTGCTATACGAAATTCTCTATTCTATAGTCGAAACAAGTCAGTTACTCTATGAATGTTTATTTTTAATCTACCGTAAAATTGCGCCATTTTCGTATGGCTGGCAAATGTAAATTGACAGGAGAGTAAAAACAAAAAAAAACATAGAGTAACTGAATTTTGTTTAGACCACAGGATAGAGAATTTCGTATAGATTCTATAATGCCTTCTTTATACTAACTTCTTCATAGAAAAGTAGTCTATAAATATAAGTTTTAATGGTTTAAAGTGCTGTGGGTGGGTGCGGTCGCATGCAACCGCTCGGGATTTAACAGCATGCGACTGCACGGGAATTTTAAGAGGATTGAGGGCTTAATTATTCATAAATTCTTCCCTCTCCCTTCCACCATCGGACAACCAGACGCTCGGCCAGTCTTCATCTCTTCGTTGTCGACTTAACGCATTCAAATTTTTTTCATTCATCGTTCGTCATGTTGCACCCATGCAAAGGAGTGGAATAAGTTGCCAGCATCTGTCTTTCCATCCGGTTACAATATGGGGGTCTTCATGGAAAGAGTGAATAAGCGTTTGTTAATCTGAGTCAGTGCGCGTTACTATCTTCGGCTACATCACCAAATACCATCTGGTGGGATAGTAGTCAATGCAATTGCAATTTGGCTGAGACTTGATAGCAAAACTCGTACGTAATTAATAGAATCAGGCGTTACTTTACGGAAATGGATTATATTATTATACGTTACCTGTTTTCCCTCTATACGAGGCATCCTCAGGAATATCCCATTAAATAGACTCTGCAGAGTATCGAGGGTGATGTGTGTTTCCTAGTCTGGTGGTGTTCGCAATTGAGGGACGGCGGGGGAGGGGGGGGCGTGCTCTTCAAACTTGGCAGGACGCATAATTTTCTTTAATTGCGCGGAAATAAGCGAATTAAATTCTAGCAACTTTAATTAAAACTCGTACACATAGGTATTCAGTAATACTAAGTTGTCGTCCAGTGGTCAAAATTCGCCCGAATTCGTAAAATCTTTAAGTTTGTATATTCAGCAACTCTGGGCTTATGTAATAATATATATTTCAATGTTATCAACAGCACAAACATAAATATATAAAAAACATAACTGATATACAAAATATAAAAATAAACGCTTTTTTGCCTTTACATACCTATATTCCATTGACTGTTGAAAAAGGAACATTATAAATCGCTCAAAATTGAAAGCTTATTCAGCCATGTCAATTTTCGAGTCTAGACCTGTTTTTTTTTGTAGAATAAAGGTGACAACCGAACATACAGTTCACCTGATGGTAAGTGGATGCTAGTATATAGACCTATAGACATCTAAATTTATCCTCGATTAACAATGAAAATGTAGATACAACAATTTCTTGTTATAGTGCCCGCGTTATCAACTGAGTCGTCGGGCCATAAATGTCAATTTCAATAGCATTGTGCCGCCGCTGTGCGACACTCGCTACCTGAGTCCGCCTTATCGCGACGAGCATAGCTACCCTCATTGAATTTGTCGTTACTTGTTTATTAATGTACCAAGGTAAGGACCACTGTATATTTTTTTCATTTCTATTTCTCATTTCAATCTCGACTGTTGTGCATAATGGAAATTTATTTTCTAACGTTAATTTAAAGGGTGACATTAACGTGCAAACTCAAATAGTTATTTTCAATATATTTTTGTTGAAAAGTGATCCCGAAATATCGCAGCTTAATTTTAATATAACACAAAAAAATGTTGCGTTTATTTGTAGCGTCAGCTGAATGAAGACAATTTGGAATATAATAAAATATTTATAAATGTAGATTACATTTTATTGTGTTATTACATAATTTCAAATCTTAAAAAATCCGTTCATTAAATCATCGATATCGACTACCTGCCATTACGCACATCATTGTGACGTTCCATAAGCCCAATGAGTGCGAGCGAGATAGACTTATTACATTGATTTATTGCCCGACGACTCAGTTGATAATGCGGCCACTTTAAGAGGATATAGTAAGTTGGCTCAAATTCTAATTTCGCCCCCACTTCCCCGCGCATCGTATGCTATGTACCGACATGTTTGTAATCACTAATACTGTAAGTAGATAGGTCGTTAGATACTTATTTCATTAGGTTTGTCATATTTATGCCTGTTTCTTAACGCCAACCTAGTCGCTTCTTATTTTTATTGCGGTTATTTCCCCATTTTAATTTTACATCGTCCTGTTGCGTAATGTGTATTCTGATCGTAAGCGATACAATCTCCCCCTTCAAAGGCCGAAGCGAAACTGACCGGGTGACCGGGCGGCAGGAATCAAACTTCAAGAAGCCGATAGTTTAGGTAATTTCATTTTACAGTGAAATAATGGTATAAAAGTAAATGACATAAGCACTGCTTTATAGTTAGTTCAGTTAGTACGCAAAGTTTCATGATCTTATTTAAAGTATTTTATGAATAACAGCGGTTCATTGTTTATTTTGGAGGTAACTTTGGATTTTTTTTATCGAGAA